GTTGCTAAATAATTGGGATCGCTGTCACTGTCATCAAATTCTTCATACAAGTCTTCTAGGTTTTCATAATAATCTTTAAGATTTCTAACACATTTCCTCTTTCCCTCCATTTCTCATGAGGAGCTTGACACTGTCTTCCCCAAAACTTTGCAAACAACCAGTTGAGGTAATAAAATGCAATGCAAATACAGAGCAATCTAACGGCAATAATTGAAATCTAAACAGTGCTGCTTGTAATTTGTTCAATTTACTCATAGACAGCACTGCTAAATTCGGTTAGGCCAAAATGATGCTTGGCACTTTTTTCTCCCGACCCCTTCAAATATGCTCATTCGCTCAGTCCTATTAGCACATCATTTAGTATTACTTTTTTGGTAGCCATAGTTATTTATTTCAAATTACATATACACTGTTACCAGTTGGGTCTCTTGGAAGATATCGCTTATTGCGATAAATTGATCCGTTTGCTTTGATGTCTATATTTGTTATGAATTTTTGAGGCAATAAACATTATTATTATTATTACAAAACCTTTTTCCCTTCATATTGTATTGTTAGAAGTTAGATTGTACCAGATTTTAAGTTTCATTTTAAGAAAATAATATTTTTCATCAGTTCACCTTGTTTCGATTTAAAAAGACCATCATCAGAGGTAGACTAGAAAAGAAAAATTAGAATAAGACTTCTAAGATGAAATTTTTGTTGAAAAAGTAAAATATTAAAATAAAAAAAAATATACAAGTGTTAATAACCTCCGGTAATTGTGTAAATTGTACCAATCATTAGAAGTTTTCCTTTCTGCTAAAGGTGTCGTGGCAATTCCGACTAAGAAACGGCCACAGCCGAAGGAATTACCGGAGCTCAATTTGCTAATAATCCTGCGAACGCCAAAGGAAAGAATTACCGTAATTGCACGGTAGCGCTCTTCTTGGAAATGGGGCGAATTATTTCTAGATTTTTTTCTTCATTTTCACGTTACCTCCGCATATACAAAACACACCTGTTTCGCTGTAGATACACGAGTCGGAACACGACGAAATCTACTTAAACCTAATCTTTTAAAATTAAATGTCGATCGGCCATTTGTCTTTTTTAAAAGATCTTGTTCGTTGTCGGCAGAGATTCCTTCGAAAAGATACACGTATAATACACCGATAATCGTCCAATCACAATGCCGCTGCGTACTCGGCAGCTTATTAATCTAAATCGATAACATCTAAAAGAGAAGAGAAGAAGGGGAACATGTAAAGTACAAGTTTTGTAGAATGTGCAAAGTCATTCGGTTGAGTGGAAGAAAGAAAACTCGATCGATCTCGTTTTTTTTTATTGTTATTTTTAAAGGAGGGTTAATTATCATCGTTCCCTACCTGAAGGATACCCTCTGAAACCACAACCTGATTACGCGGCATTATTAAATTTATAATATTAGATACACTTATGTGTGCTCTCTGGTTATTATTATATTAATATTAGCGTATTATAATACGCGGCGGGAGCTAAGCTAAAAGTTGTTGTTAAGGATCTCCTTCGAATTCTGGGGACCGTATAATTTATTTTATAGCTTGTAATGATAAGGTGGCCAATGCCGGGAGTGTTTTTTTCAATGGGGATTGCACCCGAAAATTATTATACGCGAAAAATGAGCGTAAAAGTGGAACCAAAAAAGAAAACCACATCTTAACCGAAAATTTATTGAATATAACTTGTTCGCTTTCTTTCCCAAAAAATAATACTTGCTTTATTAATTAATGCATTTGCATCAACGAACCTTAGATATATAAATTTTCGCATATCGTCTCTCAAGACGTTCTAGTTCTAGTTTTAATTCCATAAAAATATGCAACAACCTAGCACAGTTAGTTTTTAAAATATATAACAACCTAGCACTGGATAACAATTAAAACTAGAACTAATACAAGACCTAGAATTAGAATCATTCGGGTTTAGCCGTCTTTTACACCAGTACTGTTACTATGTAGAACTAATACTATGTCTAAAACGAGAAACATTTGGGTTTAGCCGCAGGTCTCTAAAGACGGCTAAACCCAAATGATTCTAGTTCTAGATATAGTGTTAGTTCTAGTTTTACAGTAGCACTGTTACTATGCAGAACTAATACTATGCTTAGAACTAGAAACATTTGAGTTTAGCCGGACGTCTCTAAAGACGGCTAAACCCAAATGATTCTAGTTCAAGGTATGGTGTTAGTTCTAGTTTTACACGTGCACTGTCACTAGAACTAACATTAGACCTAGAACTAGATTCATGAGGGTTTAGCCACACGTCTCTAAAGTCGGCTAAACCCGAATGATTGTAGTTCTAGGTATAGTGTTAGTTCTAGTTTTACACTTGCACTGTCACCAGAACTAACATTAGTCCTAGAACTAGAATCATTAGGGTTTAGCCACACGTCTCTAAAGACGGCTAAACCCGAATGATTCTAGTTCTAGGTATNACATATTTCTGATATTTGAAACAAATACATTTGTTGAACTATTTAATTTATATTTGTTTTACACAAAAGTTGGAATAGATTCCATAATTTCACATTTTTTATTAATATTTAATATTATTATTAAATGACTTAATAAATTGTTGATAGATGGCGCTCATATTCAAAAATTTTCTGAAGTGTCAAATTAAAAATCAAAAAAATCAAATTAAAAATGTTTTTTAAGATAGATTACGAAAATTACGAATCGCTTGACATGTTGGAATGTTACATATTAGAAAATAAAGTAAATTTTATATAAATTTTTAGTAGAATAATTTTTAGTTACAGTACCGTAATTTACAGAAAACTGTAAATTTAATTTCTTTGACACTAAAAAAAAAAAGTTTATTTTTAGCTTTATTCTAAAACAGTAAGAAATAGACCTATCGACCCCATATTTTTGTAATCAGAAAAAAATAACGAATTTAATAAGCGAATAATCAGTGGTTGTTTCGAAGATACAGGGCGAACAAAATTTGGAACAGTAACATTTTATTATCAAAAAGTACATGTAAAGTTGCTCAATCTACAATAAATGTTCGATATGACTTCCTCCAGCCTGAATACAAGCATTCAATCTTCTTGTCATTGACTGCGGAACTCTTTCAAACACACCAGGGTCGTTTCTAATTAAGTTACACCCAGCAATTATCCGATTTCGCTAATCGTCCAAATTCTCCGCTGGAGTAGCGTAAACTAATGACTTCAGAGATCCCCAGAAAAAATAATCCAGGGCGTTTAAGTCTGGGGATCGAGCAGGCCATGCGTGTGGCCCACCTCGACCAACCCAGCGATTTCCATATGTTGCTGTTAAAAAATTACGAGCAACCAAACTGAAATGTGGTGGTGCACCATCGTGCATAAACCATATTGCAATTCTTGTCATGTATGGTACATCGTTCAGAAACTCAGGCAGCGTTTCTGCCAAAAAGTTGCGATACACCACGCCAATAAGTCTTCCTGGTAGAAATACATTCAAGGAGAATTGATGTTGAAAATGATCTTCACATACGTCATGCGGATTTTCAACTGCCCACACATGATTATTACGAATTCCTTATTGTATTTCTTGAGAAACTGGATTCATCGGTAAAAAGAATTTTCGTCAGGAATAGAAGGATGCGAATTAATATTTGCAATATTCATTGACATAACGCAATACGTGGAAGGAAATCAGCAGGTAGTAGTGCTTGCCCGTGTTGAATGTGGTTCCAAACTGTCCAATGACTTACAAAGTATTTGCAATTCTTCGCGTAGAACTACCAGGAGTTCTTCGTCCTCTATCATGTTCAGCACATTCAGTTCCAATTGTACCGTTCTTGCAGTCATTGATGTTCCTGGCCCTACACTTCGTTTTTATGAGCCTGTTTCACGATTTTTCGATCGGGGACATTACGGACAGGAAATCGTTGGATGTACAATCGTCTAGCTTCTGATGATTTGCCATCAGCTAGTCCATATTTGAAATGCATGTCAGTCGTCTCGGCGTTCTTATAAATCATTATAAAGTAGGTACTACACTAACTGTTAAAGACACGCCAACCGCCACTCAATCTAAACAAATGCGATCGATGAGACGTATTTAGGTACTTGATAAACTCTTTGACGTATGCCATACTTTTATTTACGTTAATAATTTCAACAAATATCGAATATGGTTGTCGCAAATTTTGTTCGCCCTGTAGCTTCGAAACAAAGGGATGTTTCAAAAATCATCATAGGACGCAATATTCTTAGAATAGGCTAAGGAATAACCCCTTGAATTTTTGTTGCATGTTTACCTAACACCCTGTATAACAAACTAGCGTTGGATAAAAAATAAAACTAGAAGTAACACTAGACCTAGAACTAGAATCATTCGGGTTTAGCCGTCTTGAGAGACGTGCGGCTAAAACCGAATGNACTAGAATTAACACAAGACCTAAAACTAGAATCATTCGGGTTTAGCCGTCTTGAGAGACGTGTGGCTAAAACCGAATGTTTCTACTTCTAGGTCTAGTGTTAGTTCTAGTTTTACACCAGCACTATCACTAGAGCTAACACAAGATCTAGAACTAGAATCATTCGGGTTTAGCCGTCTTGAGAGACGTGTGGCTAAAACCGAATGTTTCTAGTTCTAAATCTAGTGTTAGTTCTAGTGATTAATTCTAAAACTCAAATAATTCAAGTTCTAGGTCTAGTGTTAGTTCTATTTTAATTCAATAAAAATATACAAGAATTGAATCACTTAATATGGGTTACTTAAAATTTTTTTTCTGAATGATGCAAATGGGTTAATATGTGTAAATTTTAAACATGTATTGTTGCAGGGGATATAATACGTTATATAAAGTTATTACAGATCCCTTGTATACGATAAATTATCCTAAAATTACATATAATTAATCCCCGATGAAAATTATACACGGAAATTACGATATACATGTACACGGTCTTAATAATCGTGTGTATCTTGTATAATTTCAATGGAAATTATTATAATTAAGTTTTTTTTTTTTAATTTCAGGTATGGTTTCAAAATCGTCGAGCGAAATGGAGAAAGCAAGAAAAAGTCGGTCCTCAAGCTCACCCTTACACTCCATATTTAGCCCAATCCCCAGGCGGTCCAACCCCATCGGTAGTCGCACCCACCCTTCCAAATCCTTTCAACATCCCGTTCGGGCTCCGCAAACCATTCGATACCCTAAGTTTTCGTTATCCGCCCCATATGCTCCCTAGTTATCTACCCACGCCCCCACATTACCATAGAGGCGCGCCGCCACTTCTTCCTCCCTCGGTAGGGCTTTACCCTTCGGCCAGCTCGTTTCAGACCCTTTTGGCCAACATTTCAGCCGCCCAAAGACCTAAATTACCCACCCCTGAATTTACGGCGTCGCCGCCCCTCTCCCCCGGCGGCGGTGGAAGTTCTACGGCCGTAACCCCTCCGGATGTTGATAGAAGGAGTTCGAGTATTGCGTCGTTAAGATTGAAGGCGAGAGAACACGAACTTAGGCTGGAAATGTTGCGGCAAAATGGAGATTTAATTAGTTGAATTAATTAATGTGGTTTAAAAAAATTACAGTATTTTTTTTGTTTTTAAAATACCATTTTGCTTTTTGGAGAAAGAAAATTATTAAAAAACGATTTAATTTTTCTGTGAAAATATACTTAGTTTTTTTTTCCTGAAATAACTAGATTATGGTAATAAGTATTATAATATGTAGTACATAAAGAAATAAATTTTAGCTTCTATCGTAAGGTGGGTAAAAAAATAAATCTGTAATTATTTAATTATTTTTTACCACGCAATTTTAAGCCTTCTAAAACATGTATATTATTATCTTTTTAAATAACAAAATAACCTAAACACTCAAAAATGTAGATAAATTATTATAATTATAAATAGTTAATTATTAAATAATTTTAACTTAGTTTTTAGTTTATAAATATGTAAAGCAGAATGTTCTAAATATTTGTAAAAAAGTATGTAACCGATTCCGTCCAACTATGCCTGTAAATATTTAATTATTATTAACATTTAGTATTGTTATTCAGAAATTTATTCGCAAGAAAAAATATTAAATAAAGTATTTTGTAAAAGTTAATCAATGTTTTAATCCATTATCATATTAAAAAGGAGATTCAAACCTTTAATTTCATGTATGAATCAAATAATGCAAAATCTACCAAATAATGTATCTACTTAATTTATAGAGATATCAAACTTTAATTTGATGTATGGATCATTTCTTAGTTGCTATAAATAAAGTTTGGATGAGATTTTAAAGTTTGGGTTCGATTTTGTCATTTTTCCTAAAACTGAAAAACAACATATTTTTAAAAAAATGATAAGAAATGAATTTGTATGATTTAAGAAATGATTCATATACTGAATCAAAGAGAACATTTTAAAGTTTCATTTGCACCATAAATCATTTTCATATGTTCATAAATGCGAACTACACGATCTCTTAAAGATGGCGTTATAAATTAATATGTTTTGATTAATTCGCATTTCGGCAAAATCTACCAAATAATGTATCTACTTAATTTATGATAACTAAGAAGTGACTTTTATATCAAATTGAAGAGGAGACTTCAAACTTTAATTTGATATATGAATCATTTCTTCGCTGTCATAAATAAAGTTTGGATGAATTTTTAAAGTTTGGGTTCAATTTTGTCATTTTTTCCAAGAATTAAAAAACAACACATTTTTAAAAAAATGATAACTAACGAATTTGTATGATTCAAGAAATGACTCTTATATTAAATTAAAAAAGACATTTTAAAGTTTCATTTGCACCATAAATCATTTCTAAACATCCATAAATGCGACTTACACGATCTCTTAAAGATGACGTTAAAAATTAATATGTTTTGATTAATTCGCATTTCGGCAAAATCTACCAAATAATGTATCTACTTAATTTATGATAACTAAGAAGTTATTTTTATATCAAATTGAAGAGGAGATTTCAAACTTTAATTTGATATATGAATCATTTCTTCGCTGTCATAAATAAAGTTTGGATAAATGTTTAAAGTTTGGGTTCAATTTTGTCATTTTTTCCAAGAATTAAAAAACAACACATTTTTAAAAAAATTATAACTAACGAATTTGTATGATTCAAGAAATGACTCTTATATTAAATTAAAAGAGACATTTTAAAGTTTCATTTGCACCATAAATCATTTCTAAACATCCATAAATGCGACTTACACGATCTCTTAAAGATGACGTTATAAATTAATATGTTTTGATTAATTCGCATTTCGGCAAAATCTACCAAATAATGTATCTACTTAATTTATGATAACTAAGAAATGATTTTTATATCAAATTGAAGAGGAGATTTCAAACTTTAATTTGATATATGAATCGTTTCTTCGTTGTCATAAACACGGTTTGGGTGAATTTTTAAACTTTAATAAGAATGTATAATGTAGCCAGATAAAAATAATCCCCCAATAATAACGAACACCAAACGAAGTTAGTTGACCCCTTTGTAACATTAAAAACAACACACCGTATCACTTTTAATAACCATAATCATGGTGAATAACCGTAATCTCAACGAAAACTTTTCGCAAATTTAGAACCCATCAACGGACGCACTTTTAAAGAAAATAACTTCATTAAGAAGCACCCGATAAAAGACTACTTATAATACTCTCTCTAATCTGTAATCTATATTTAAATTTTTTTCTCATGCACAAAATTAAAGCGCAGCTGCAACAAACATTCTCTATAAAGAATCGTCCTATCGACGAACACGAACTTTCAAAACGGGTGGCTAATAATTCTCCGAAGAGATCATCCGACGCGATTAATAAGATCAGCCTCCTGTCTCTGGCTCATAATAAGGACAATTAACGGCCTCCAGCGGTAAGTGCGTCCAATATTGCTTTCGCTTTATGATTTGAAGAGAAGCCAATTTGTATATTGTATGGCCTCGTAATCAAAAGCATACTCTTTAGCGGGAGAGAAGTCTTCAACAAGAGCTCCTAATCAGTATGTAATTAGTCATGTTATTAATAAAACGAATTGTGTGTGGTGGATATGATCCCTTTTTGTATTTTTTGTTAGGTTTGTGTGTGAGGGAAAGATTTTCTGTGTGTGAACTAATTTTAAGTTGATTAAATTAAAAATTCATATTTGTTTGGAAACGGTTCTGATGTAAATGAGCGGTTTCTACCTCCGGACGTGGCGGCTATATTTCACTGCCGGTTCGTTTCTTTTTCCTCGAACGGGGATCGCTTGCCTCCGAGCAATTATCTAATTAAAATTAATGCCCGTTTAAAACCCGAACTCATCAGGACGCAGCGGCCGCCCGAATTAATCATAAAATAATCGAGTTTAGACCGGCGCGCTCTTCAACACAACCAAAAAAAGAAAGAATTTAAAGCAACAAAAAGCCTTTCATCTTAGAAAAAAAGCTCTGATGGATACTTTTAATTTAATAAATAATGGGAACCTTATTAGGAGATTCTAGTTAACAGGTGTATTTAAAGAAAATTAAGTTCTTTTTTTGGTAAAACTCATTTATATAAGAACAACAATACTTAATAATCGAACCAGCAACGGTTGAAGATCATTCGATTGTAATAAATTGCCACCGAAGAACCGAAGGAACGATCGTGCGGTAGGTAAAGACGGTATTTATCAAGGCGCTAATTACACCAGCAATTAATACTTGTAGAAATAAATCTACCGCCCGAAGCTACCTCGACAATAAGAATTAAAAGGAACCTGTAAAAAAAAATAAAGCGAAGAAGAAAACCACTTAACGAAACTAAATAATTTAAAACTTAGCGTCACGACGACGAAAGAACTCAAAAGAAGGCAAAAAAGAAAAAAAATTGGTAACGAGTTTTCGATTTTGACCCGATTTATAATTCATTTTGAAATATGTAACGACCATGATTGTTAAAAATTAATGCGATGTGGGTCATTAAATAATGAATTAATTGAATTCGAGACACGTTAAAACGGAAATTTTGTTAATCATTGTCTCATTATGTTCCGATCGAGTTGTAATTAATGATTTTTAGGTCCACATCTTCCTACTAAAACAAAGCAATAAGATAAAATTGATTTTGTATTGCCATGACATAACTAATGTAATTTTTTATAAATAATAATATTACTTACACTAAAAAAGCCACGGAGAAAGAGTCTACAGGGTGGTTTAGTGTCCTCTCTCTACATGTCCCTGCTCTGTGTCGGTTTTTATGTGAATCATCCTGTATAACCCCATATTTTTGTAATCAGAAAAAAATAATGAATTTAATAAGCGAATAAGATAATCAGTGGATATTTCCATTTAAAAAAACGAAAATTGTACATCAAACTTGACAAATATGTTATAAAACCTTGTCGTCAAATAACTTTATAACCTATTTGTCAAGTTTGACATACAATTTCATAGCTGACTACTGAATTTTCGATTATTAAGTAACATTACGAAATACGTGTCTTTAGTTATTTCAGTTTTTTATGAAAACGACAAAGTTTTTTAAAAAATAATAAGAGTAAGAAAAGTTTTAGAATTAATTTCTACATGAAATGAAGTAGTAATGTATTAAATCCGTCAAAAGGTTAAAAAAAATCTGTCAAAATTTAGGATACCATTACCCTTAATCAACCCTTTGAAATGCCTTAATTGAGTTTAATTTGCTACCAATTAATACCCTTGGTACCACTCATAACGTGTACCAAATTTGGGTTTTCTAGCTTAATGAAATACGAAGATATTGAACTTTTAAAAAAATTTAAGAGTTAACTTTGTAGGCCTATAACTCCTCAGGCGTACAACCTAATATAGAGGTAAGTTACGTTAAATCATCTTAATTTATTGTCCTCTACATGTATAGGTCTATTTCTTATTGTTTTAGAATAAAGCCAAAAATAAACTTTTTTTTAGTGTCGTCAAAGAAATTTAATTTACAGTTTCCTGTAAATTACGGTACTATAAATAAAAATTATTCTACTAAAAATTTATATAAAATTTACTTTATTTTCTAATATGTAACATTCTAACATGTTGAACTTTTCGTAATTTTCGTAATCTATCTTAAAAAACAGTATTTTTAATTTGACACTTCAGAAAATTTTTGAATACAAACAAATGTTGCTATATTTATTTGAATTAAAAGACCGCCATCTATCAGTAATTTATTAAGTCATTTAATAATAATACTATATTTAATATTAATAAAAAAAGTGAAATAATGCAATCTATTCTAACTTTTGTGTAAAACAAATATAAATTAAATAGTTCAACAAATGTATTTGTTTCAAATACCAGAAATATATTTTTTTAATTTTTAGTTATAATTTATAGGAAACTGTAAATTTAATTTAATGATGACACTAAAAAAAGTTTATTTTCCGCTTTATTCTAAAACAATAAGAAATAGACCTGTAAAACCCTATATTTTTGTTAGAGGCGGCGCTACCGGAGGGTGCAAGGGGTGCACTGCACCCGGGCGCCGCCTAAAAGGGGGCGCCGGCGCCTTTTTAATATTTTCTCCAACAATATCTTATCTTCCTTTTGNGGGTGTCTATCATCATCTTTTTGGGAGCCTCTTATTATCTATACGGATCTTGTACCACCCGGTACCTCATTTCTGCAGCTGTTACTTTGCTTTTGTGCTTATCCTGCATTGGCAAAGTTTCCGTATTGGTGATTTCCTGTCCTGTGCAATAACAAGACAAGTATATTGGTTTCTTGATCATATTCTTCGCATTCTTTTATTGAACATGTTTGAAAAATCATGTTTGGTATATAATCATTTTTTTGTTTTCTCTGAACAGTAATTTCAGACTTCATGTGGACTTTGAACAATGTAATTCCTGTTTTTTGCTGAAGTCTAGTTTATAACTATTGCAATTTCAGACTTTTTCTTGCAAATTAACCTTCTGACCAGAGTATTCCCGACTATTCCCTTAAGTTTGGTTTTGCACCAGTATAATTCTTAAATTTGGGGGGGGGGCACTCCGTTTCCCGCATCCTGGCGCTTCATTTGCTAGCGCCGGCACTGATTTTTGTAATCAGAAAAAAATAACGAATTTAATAAGCGAATAATCCATTTAAAAAAA